TAAAGGCTAAAAAACAGGCTAAAAAAAGGGTAAGGGGCTAAAAAAGTATAATACCTATATTTAAAATTATGTAATTATTTATTACTAGTACCTTTTTAGTATAAATACTTAAAAAAATAGCATTTAAATATTAATACTTTTAAAAAAATTTTTAAAGTAATGGCCAACCTAGATATAAAATAAAAAATTAAAAATATTTATAAAGGCGCCTTTAAAAAAAACTTAATTATGATTTTTATAAAGGGAAGGGCAAGAAAAAATATTTAAATAAAATATATATAATTATTTATTAAGTATCTCACGTCTTAGCCACTATAATAAATAAATATAACTTTAATAATATAATAATTATAAATAACACCTTTATAATCCATGTTTATAATAATATTATTAAAATAAAAAATATTTATGTAACTACACCAAATAAATTAAAAGAAATTTTTATTAATAATATATTAAATATAATTAATATAATTAGTATATTTTTAATAAAAGTAACTTATATTAATAATTTAAAATAAATCCTTAAATTTACTAATTACATGTATATTAAAGGCTTTTATACTAATATTATATTACTTAATTTATTAAAATAAAAAGAATTATTTTTAATACTTATAAATATCTTATAAAAATAACTATAACTAGTTAATATATTACCTTAAAGTATACCAGGAATTTAAAATATTTAATTAATAATATATAAATAAGTACTTTCCTAATTTAGTAAGAGTATTTACTATAATTAAGGTAAAATATTAATAATTAGCAAAGCTAGAAGCGCTTGCTAAAAATACTAAGCTTTAGTATTAATATATAAGCTACCTAGGTAGTAAGCTAGTACTATAACTTTAAAAGTTAGCCTTAGGGGTAAAAATTATTACTTTAAATAAAAATTTTAATAAATATTATTTTTTTTACTTTATTTACAAGCTTGCTAACGCTTTATAATAAATATTTAAAAAAGATTTGTTTAAATTAACTTAATTATTTAAAATTATTTATTTTAATATAATATAGCTTAGCTTAAAGTTATAAAATAGCCTAAAATAGCTTTTATACTTTATTAATAATTATACCTATATATAATTTATAATTTTTTATAAAAATAAAAATAAGTATATCCCTGCTTTTTAATATTTTTATAATATAGTAAAAAATTAATATAGCTATAAAATTATAATACTTTATAATAATAATAAGGGCTTTATAAAATTAAATAACTTTAAAATTAATACTTAAAAAAAGAAAGTTATTATATATATAACTATTAAAAATATACCTAAATAAAACTTTATATTAAAATACTAAAAAAACCTTATTATAAAACACGCCAGGGCTATAATTTTAAAGGTAAATCTTTTTAAATATTTTAACTTTAAAGTAATAAAATTAGCTATATATATTCTTAATAATACGCCTGCTAAAAATCTAAAAAATACTTAATTTATTTTATTTATATAATTTTAAGCTGTTTTTAATATCCCGCGGCTTATTAATTTATTAAATATATATATTTTTAGCTACATGGGGTTTTATTAAAAAACTATGGTATAATTTAAAAAGCTTATTAAAAAAGCTAGTATAAGCTATTTTATTAAGTATAATACTAGTAATATTTAAAAATTATAAAATCTTAAAATAAGGCTATACTAGTTAGTTTTTTAAGCATGTAATATTGTATTTAATAAATTAAAGTTTTATACTTTAAATAATTTATTACTTCTTAATAATTTATATATTATAAACTTACTCCCGCCCAAGGATATATAACTAAAAAAAAGTAAACTTTTTTATATTATTTTACTATTTTTTACAGGGCTTAAAAAAGATTTAAAAAGTAATAATAAAAATAAATTAAATAAGCTTATTAAAGTATTTAAACTTAAATATAATATTAAATTATATATTATAAATAATAATACTAGCATGGGGGTAAAAAAATTAAAATAATTAATAAAAGTATTAATACCCTATAACCCGTGATTTATAAATTATATAATAATATTAATAAAATACTACCTATTAATTTAACTAATTATATTAAGTTCTTAAATAAGTTAGCTAACTTTATTTTTACTATACTAAAAAATTATAAAATAACCTTATTTAAATTTAACTTTAGTACTATTATAAATAAAGTTTTTAATATAAATATTAGTATTCCTAGCAGTTTTCCTAATATAAAATTTTAAAAAAAAATAAAAAAATTACCTAACTTTAATTCTTGCTTTACTAGCTAAAATAATTATTTTTAATTAAAAATTTAAATATAAAAATAACAGCACACTTGCGCTTAATAAAAATAAAAATATAATAATAAAATTTAATAAAGTTTAAAAGTAAGTTTCCTAAACTATTAAGTAAAGGCCCCCTAATATACCTTTAATTAATAATATTTTTTACCTAAATAAATAATATTATAATAATTTATACGCCATGCTTATAAAAAATCTAATATATAAATAAGCTATATTTTTATTATGCTTAGCGCAGTTATATAATAGCTTTTTTTTATAACTTTATTAAAATAATACTTTACTAAAGCCATAAAACTAAAAAAAATAATAAAAAGTTTATTTAAGAAGTGGTAAATTAAGGTAGCTAAAGTTAAAATAAATAACCTTATAATAATAGGCACCTATAAAATAATAAAAATATTATAAAAAAAATAATATTATTACTAAAGTAAGTATTTAAATATAAATTTAATATTAAAAATTATATAACTAAATTTAAAGCAAGGCTTTATATACACGAAGATTTTTAACTACTTATAAAAATAAATACTATAGTATTAATACTTATTACTTAACTTTTTTAACTTATAATAGTACTTACTACCTATTTTAACCTAAAAATTAACTAGTTAAATATTATTAATGCCTTTATTTAAGGCGTTATAAATAAAAAAGTTTATATAAAAACTTTATATAAATATATACTAAAAAATAAAGTATAAAGGTTACTTAGGCCTTTATATAAACTATAATAATCCCTATATATTTAGTAAAAAAWTTTTTTTATAAAACTTACTATGTATAGCCTTAAGCAAGTACCTAAAAAAATATTTTTTTATTAATAAGTATTTTATTATTATTTTTTTTATTAATAATATTTTTATTTTTTATTAAAGAACTTACAAGGCCTAATAGGCAGCCGTAAAGTTTAAAAAATATATAATTAATATATATAAAATTTATAATATAAAAGCTATATAATAATTTTTTAATATTTAAATTATATATAACTACAGGAACTAAATAATTTACTTATTTTAAGATTTTTATATAAAAAGTTTTAAAACTTGGTTTAATTTTTTTAATTTTAATTAATATTTAAAGGTATTATTACAAGCTAAACTTAAGCTAGCGCCTAATAAATATTATATAAGAAAATAAAATATTTACCTTTATTAATAACTTATTAGTTTTTTTTTTTATTTAATTATTTAAATATAACTTAAGGCCTTAAAGGCTATAAATAAGCTAGTATAATATTTTATAAATTTAATAAGAGCCTATATTAAGGCTATAAAATAAGTAATTTAATATTTTATTAAAACCGCCATGCTTGCTATAATATTTAAAAAAATATTAAAATAATTACCTACGCGACTAAAAATAACCTTACCTTTATTATTAATATATTTTATATTAATATAAATAAATAATAAAGCTTTAAAGGCTATATTATAAAATTATTTAATAATTTAATTAATTAAAAGGCAAGTTATTAATAAATTATTACTACCTTTATAATTAAAGTAAAACTTTTAGCTATATTAAAAGTAAGTAAATACTTATTTTAATAAAAATTTTTTTTTAATAAATTAAAGTTTAATCCCGGGTAAAATCTTAAAATTTTATATAATAATTAATAAATTATTTAATTACTTATTAAAAAAAATCTTAACTTTATTACTAAGTTATAATATATTAATATATATTATTATTAATTTTAAAAAAAATCTTTTTTTAAAAATATTAAAGTATAATAAATCCTTATAAATAAATAACTAGCTAATAACTTTATAAAATTACTAAGGTTAATAAAATACATTAAATTTATTAAATAACTTAAATTTAAAACTATTTTTTAATATCTTTTTTTTATTCTGGTATTATATTAATTTTATTAAATTTAATATAAAAAGATATATTAAACTTATAAATACCTTAGGTTAATTATTAATAAATTTTTTTTTTACTTATTAAAAAATACTTATTTAAATTTATTTACTTATTACTTTAAATATAATAAGGCTAGGGCTTTAAAATATAGCTTATTTAAAATATTTTAATTAATTTTTTAAATATTTTAAAATTTAGACCTTTTATTATTTATACTTATTAAGTTATTTTTAGTTAAAGTTACCTTGTTATTTACTATTAAGTAAATATTAAATCACCGCCTAGCGCCACTAAGCTGACTAACCCGCAAGGTTATCAAGCGTTTTCTTGTCCATTAGGGATGTTAAATAACAAATGTCTATCCGACATTTCGACCCTTTTATGTTAACTTAATAAATATTTTTAGGCCGGGTATGTTTAATCGGCGCCCTACCTTTTATAAAAAAAGTAGTTTTTTAGGGCCTGTAAGCTACTAATCTAAAAAAGGTAGTTTTAAAAAAATCTAAGCCTTTTAGGGACTAGCTTAGCCTACCTAGTCACGTGTATATTTATCCAAACAAACATTTAAAACATGGATATTACAAACAGACAGACATTTTGGAGAAAATATCAACATTATAACATCCCTAATTGTCCATACCTATTAATCTATGCGGAAATAGTAGGCGGTGTCGTGGCTGATATGGGGCTGTGAACCGGTCACGGGCGCCATAATCAAGAACGGACTTTTCCAAATTCACTGCATTCTATACCTAGGCTCACGGTAATTGAAGTCATAATCTATATTATCCCCATATGCTTATTGCCACACAATGTCCGCAATTGACCACCATGCATACCTAGCGTTTCTCAGTTTTAACAAAGCATTCAGGATGACTTGGCCGCCGTCTCTCCTTCTCGAGTGTCCAGATCAACACGCAAATTGTGTCTCTCGACCCCAGTGCACCGCTCCCGATCAGTAAAGTAGTACAGCAGGATCAGCGCAACCGTAACGACCCAAGCAGCAGCCCCGACAATAGTCATGGTCTGAATGCTATGGTGGTACGTGGGCGCATATTCCTCCCGGTATATCTGGCCGCCGGAAAGACCACCCAGATTGACTGCGATTGTCATCACACTACCATTCATCATTAGCACGCCGTGGCGATATTGTAAGGTGAACAATCTTACGCGCTGGAGATTCCGCGCTCCTGGTCGGACTTTGTATGGCTCAGGAGCCAGGACGTGTTGAGGACACTAGCATGGAGTATGATTAGCAGAGGTATCGGAAAAGGATAGCTGGGATTGGAGTGACGTACTGGGTGGTCACACCGCACAAGTTGGCGAGAATCAGGATGACATATTTGTGCCATTTGTTCGACAAACCGGCAACTGTCATCAGACAACCCCAGGTAATCAAAGACCAGGAGACGGACAGCAGTGTGACGAGGCCTCTTTGCTGGGTTCGGTCGCTATCCATCATTCCATGTCAGAAATAAAACATTCATACGATACACCGGCTCGAAGGCATACCTTAACCAAGTCAACGCCCCGCACATAACAATGGCCGCAAAGTAAGCAACAGACGTGAGCGCGTTGGAGTGAATGGTGCTGAAATGGAACGACTTGATCATGGTGGGCGTGTATAGCGTCAAGCCGTGCAAGGCGCAAGCAGAGAGCATCGTAATGACAACATGGAACCACAGCCGGATGTTCTTGAAGGTCTCTAACAGCTCCTTCAATGAGACCTTTCCTCGGCGATGCGCGGTGCTTTCCCCTTCACTAGCAGAGCTGGTGTGATTAAGGCCCATGCCCAGACGCGCAAGCAGTATATGCCGCTGTCGCTTGGTAAAGTAGCTCCACCGGTTGAAGCTAACGACGGGAATTGGGTTTCGGATGTTGCGGGGGAGGAGCAGGAAGAAGATGAATGCGACGAAGATAGTCATCAGCCCTTCGACTGCGTGGTTGTTAGCTTTTGATCTTCCGTTACAGCGGGCAAGGGTAAATACTCAGCCAAAGCCACCTCCACCCACCCCAGCCGGCGACACCAGCAAGATTGAGGATTCCTGCAGCCAGCAGGCCCGACAATGCACTCGCCAGGAGCTTTCCCATGTAGTAGTACCCTATGCGAAGAGCGTATTCGTCAGGTTTGTACCACATGGTCAACAGGTACATGCCGCCTGGCTCAAATCCGGCCTCGAAGAGACCAAGAAGGAAGCGCGTTGCCAGCAGGCTGCCGTAGGTTTTGATGAAGGACTCGAAGGTGGCAATGGTTCCCCATATGAAGATCTGGGCGGAGAGCCAGAGGTGAGGTGAGAACTATTGTAGAGAGCAGAGTTGGTTAGACAGGTTCATTTAGATAATGGGGTGGGAGCGTACGATTTGCATGAGGATGTTCGATGGGAGCTCGAATATGACGACCCCGACAAGGAAGATTTGGGACGCGACATTGACCTGGTTCGTTGAGATGTTCAGGTCCTGTGTGATTGTCGAGGTCAGGCTGTTGGACAGATTGCCGCGGTCGATCTGCACCATGAAGTTGGCCGCGATGAGGACGGGCAGGAGCACGCAGTCCATCCTATACGAGGTTAATAGGCTTTTGTAAGATTGAACAGGAACATACAGTCTGACGACCTTACGCTCCTCCTGTTCAGACCAATCCGGCAGGAAAATGGCCTCGACTTCTCCGGGTTTGGTTTCATCGTCGATGGACCGCGCCGGGGACGGCTTGTCCTGAGTTTGGAGTTCGAGGCTCATGGTATAGTGATAATGAATGATCGGCCTGGCTGGAGATTGCGTGTCACGGACGGGAAGACTGGTCGTAATTATAGGGTCCAGGTACTCCCTTGCTATCTCTGCCACGCCCTGGTGATACGTAGGACAGATTGCCCCGATAAAACTATACCACAACCTTTGCATGTTTGCGACTCCCCGGGAACTATGCTTTGCCCGAGCTACCCATTGGCTCGATCAATCGAAAGGCGCCAGGGTGCGGGGACTCGGGGAGCAGGCCCAGGCCTTTCAAGCATGATAAGCATCCGGCGGATGCTCGAGGCACATCCGTTCCCTATCCGAGGGCAGGGATGGTCTCCAACGATAAGCTTGTCGATTGGGACTCAGCGGGATAGAGAGCCCCCGTGTGGCTTCATTGTTGCGACGGGAACAACTCTACCACCCTTGAGGAGCTCGACCAGATTCAGCTCGTCTTTGCGCCCTATTCGTATCCATCATGTCCGGCCCTTCACGATTCTCCCGCCTCTACAGGATTGTTTCTCTCCGAAGGGGAACGGTACACAAGATCTCGAGTGTGGTCCCCGCAAGAGGACTCTCTGATAGCATCGAGCCCAGTCAGAATCGATTGAGGCTATCGATATTGTTGAGCAGCGCCGCGGTTGTGTCGTTCGGAATGGGGTATTTCATGCAGCAAATTGACGACTCATCATCTGCATATGAATGTCCTGCGCTGCGCACTATTCAATATCCCGAAAGAGAGGTGATGCTTAAGGTGAGACTTTATTTGAACTGCGCTTGACCGTAACTCTGACCGCGACTAGGCCGCGCAAGAAATCAGCCAGCTCCTAGGCGACGACTCGGTGAGCTTTGACGAGGACGACATTGAAGCCCATGGCCACTCGGATTGGTCGACGAGTAACTCGCCTGGGCGCGCCGTGGCGGTGGTATATCCAAAGAGTACAGAGGAAGTGTCCAGAGCAGCTGCAATATGCTACAAGCACAACGTTCCCATTGTTCCGTACGGGGCAGGCTCCTCCGTCGAAGGGAATGCATCCTCGCCCTACAGCGGCATCGTGATCAACTTGGCCCAGATGGATAGAATCGTTGCTTTCCACCCAGAAGACATGGATGTCGTCGTTCAACCAGGTGTGAACTGGGTTGATCTGAACAATGAGATCAAGCACGAGAACCTATTTCTGCCGCTCGACCCATCGCCGACCGCAACTATCGGTGGGATGGTCTCGACAAACTGCAGTGGAACAAATGCATTCCGATACGGCACGATGAAGGACTGGGTGGTTAACGTGACTGCTGTGCTCGCCGATGGGCGGGTCATCAAGACGCGACGGAGACCGCGGAAGACGTCCGCTGGATATAATCTGACCTCACTTTTTGTTGGCGCAGAGGGGACGCTTGGAATTGTCACCGAGATAACGCTCAAGCTGGCTGTTATTCCGAAGGAGACGAGCGTCGCTGTTGTCTCGTTCCCCACAATCAACCAGGCTGCATCTGCGGCATCGAAGATCATTCGGTCGGGTATCCAGCTTGCCGCAATGGAACTGATGGACGATGTCCAGATGCGCGTCGTCAATCAACATGGTAGTGCAGAGGTCCGAGCCATGAACTGGGATGAGACGCCCGCTCTCTTCCTCAAATTCGCGGCTCCATCCAAGGAAACAATAGCCGCCGACGTGGTTAGAGTTGAAAGGCTGGTCCAATCATTCGAACCCTCACGATATGTCTTCGCGACAAACAATGAAGAGGAGGCAAGGATCTGGGCCGCACGAAAAGAGGCGCTGTGGACCATGATATCCATCAAGCCCGAAGGGCACGCCATCTGGTCCACCGATGTGGCAGTCCCGATATCCCGGCTGGCAAAGATTATTGAGCGGTCCAAGCAAGACGCCGAACATTTGGGGGTGTTCTCCAGCGTGGTTGGCCACGTTGGGGATGGGAACTTCCACGAGGCAATCATGTACGACCCCAGGGACCCGGCGATGCAACATGCTGTGGAGGAGGTTGCACACCGGATGATGGACCGTGCTCTCGAGATGGAGGGGACGGTCACTGGAGAACACGCCATCGGGATTGGTAAAATGGTTCGTATTACTTACCCCTTTGACCCATAAGCGGGAACTGACAGACGTCCAGGAGGGATTATTGGCTGAAGTCGGAACTGAGACGGTAGAGGTCATGAAAATAATCAAGCAGGCATTGGATCCAAAGTAAGACGGGCCTGTGGATCATCCCTGCGATTTGATGGCTGACAGCTTGCACAGATGGATCATGAACCCCGGCAAGGTGTTCGACCTGCCTACCGTCCGGTAGGGAACGAGCACAGAGTCAGTAGGAAGGCCAGGGGGGAACCACGAGCTAAGGGGAACGAGAATCGAGACGGATTGGGGGGACTCTCCGCTGTCGGGGTACGTGGGCAGGTGCCCGGCCTGGTCCTTCCCCAACTATATCGACTAAACCCCTACAACAATCATACATTTCCAACTACCATACCTACATATCCGCTAATAAGTTCAATGAATTGCATCATGATGATTTGCGCGGGGAGGCACAGGGCACTTGTACTACTTCCATCATTGCCCGGCTGCATGAGATTCTATTCTTAGACGTATCCTCGATTTATTATCCAGAAACACGAAAACCAAGTCCCAAAGTCTTCAGGGCTATACTATCTATCGTTCTCTACTCGACCCCTAGTCACCACTTCATGAATCGCCTGAGCCGTATACCGAACATTCCCAGTCGTAAGCCCACATATCGAAGCCCTTCCCGAGGGCAACATATACACATGGTACTTCTTCTTCAACATCGCAACATCATCCGAACCGAGACCTGTGTACGAGAACATCCCAGTCTGTTCCACAATATGGCTCCAGTCTCCTGGAGTCTTGAGCCGAACCAGCTCGTCGTACAAAGCTTGCCGCATGGCCTTGATCCGTCCACTCATGGTCAAAAGATCATCTCTCCACATTGCATGCAATTCAGAACTCGTAAGAACTTCCGTAGCAATCTGGGAACCAAGGCGAGGGGCCATTGAGACAAGTGCCCGTTGAAGGTCAACGAGGTGGTTCTCAATTGAGTCTGCTGACGGGGAAGGCGACTCTATCAATGCCATGACGTGGAGAGCACCAGTCCGCTCCCCATAAAGTCCCAAGTTCTTCGAAAAGGACTGACAAACGGCCATCTCGACATCGGGGTGTGTAGCGAAATGGCGAATTGCCCATGCATCGCGGTCTAGGTCCCCAGATGCAAAGCCCTGGTAAGCCAAGTCGAATACGATGAACAGTTTCTTCTCCTCACAGAGCACGGCTATCTCGCGCCATCCTTCGCGGTTTGGATCGAGACCAGTTGGGTTGTGCGCGCAGGCGTGCAGGAGAATGGCATCGTGCTCTTGGGCTTCGGTTCTGAGGGCCTTGATCGTTCCGTCCAGGTTGAATCGTCGATTATACCCATCGTAGTATGGGTACCATCGAACATTGACATCGGGTGCGTTCTCTCGCCAGATATCAACATGGTTTGCCCAGGTTGGATCCGGCAGCCAGATATTCGTTGGTTGGGCATGTCGCTGCAGGAATGCGGCGATGAGGCTGTTGGCTCCTGTACCGGATACCGTCTGGATTGATGCGATTGACCGGACGGTATTTTGCGAGATCGTTGGTCCGAAGACGAGTGTGCGAGCTGCGTCTAGGAAGTCCGTGTTTCCACGGAGAGGCAGGTATTCGTGGTCTATTGATTCGATGTTCATCCTTCGCTTCGCCTGAACAATGATCCATAATCAGTCTCGGGCTAGGTGTGTGGTGGATATATTGAGTTCATATTCGCTTACCTCTTTCACGGACGGCAACTGCCAGGGCTGGCCGTTGTCATCACGGTAGGCCCCAATAACGAGGTCGACTTTGTTGGGATTCTCATCATGTTGATATTCGGCGGCCAGCGCAAAGGGTCCCCCGGGAGGGGCATGTTGTAGGTTCGCGAATACGGACACCCGGTCTTGTTTGATGCCGTTGTTGATGGCCATTGCTGAATGGGTTCTAATACCGCTGAGGATTGTTGTGTATTATTCTTCAATTCGGCATCGGATGAGACGAATTCTCCCAGTGGCTGGTCATCCCTACGACGTAGATATATATATCTTTGTTCTCTGTAGTTTCTTCTCATCATTGTCGTCCCACAGCAGAGCCACAGAGACAATTTACATGGCCCGGATGGACCGGAACTCATCCGGCTCCCTTCAAGGAACAGGACAGTCTGTTAGACCGCATGAGACACTATATTGTGACGAGCTGGTGTCCAAACATCTATGCAAGACATCCGAGGCGCTCCCGGGTCACGACCAAGGCCATTTGCCTCCATATCCTCAACACCCATCTACACAACGATATACTGTGACTGATGTACCCTGGTATCTCCTCGGATGGCTTCCCGAGCGTTATCACTCATGCTCCACCGTGGCCGGATGCCCTCCGTCGGATACGGAAGGGCTATCGGTGGCATGATAGCCCACGCCATTGCCATTGGCTATAAACATATCATCGCTCCCATTTCTGCTGGAGTGGATCTCGAAAGCTTAGGTCTTGGACTTGGCGTAATGATAGAGTGTCGAGCGCTGAAGATGGCCGTACTGGTCAAGGGGATCTTTGCCTGCCGCAGTGGATCGCACTTTCCTTGGAGATATTCAGCGCAGTGCTCCGTCTGATTTTGGATCCAGCGTCCCTTCCCGCGTTGTCTCCCCTTCATCCTTCCATCCCCTGATGCACATGTAGCCCTGGAAACTTGCCCAGATACTGATGTCAATGACCGACCAAGAATCCCGGACGACAAACAGCGGACAACCGCGCAAACGCACTCGGCAGGCTTGCGAACCATGCCGGTAGATCTCTCCATCCATCTCTCTTCAGCATTGAGTGTATTCCTTCTAATGTACAGTGACAGCCGCAAAAAGTCGAAATGTTGTGGTAAACGACCCATGTGTTCGATGTGCCGACGGCTGGGCCACAATTGCTATTATAAGCTAGAACGTCTCACAGGATTCTCGATGGAGAACCAAGTGCTGGGTCAACAAGGAAGCCCTTCGTCAAGCCATGGAGAGGCCCTTGATGACGTCCAAAGCGATTTGGTACCCCCTCTAGCGTGCCGTTTGTTGCTCTCAGCTAGCTGACTCTTGGGCAGCACCAGCGACTGAATATCATGGAGCACACCCTCACGAGCCTACTAACCGGCTTGAAGGATGGCTCTCTCGAAAGCACGTCGCAGTCATCTTCGGCATCAACCGCACGCCGACCGACCGAGTTGCGACCCAGCATTATCAGCCCCATCTCAAGCGGTTCTCCGCGCAGTACAGGCCGCACTCCTCCATCAAATGGCCTTACGACCAATGCACCAGTGCAAAAGTCCAGACCGATTGTTCGTTCATGGGCGGGTGCTGTCCGGGTGGCAGAGACTTTCCTTCGGTACTGTGACTCTCAACCACTTCCCCTATTCGATCCACGAACGTTTGTCTCGTCCTTCCCCAATCGACCGTTTGAGGTCGTGTTCAGCGTGTTGGCAATGGCACACCGATTCTTAGACCATTCAAGCCCAGCAGCCTGGCATGGGCACCTTCCGCCCGTGGACGACTGTAAGCAGGAAGCACACCGGTTGACCATGTCTAGCATCGCAAATGGTCGTATAGAGCTATCAACGTTGCAGACATTATGCGTACTCGGAATGATTGAACTGCATGGTACGTTCCCTGATTCTTCACACAAAACCGCTTCCTAACAGTGTTGGCAGAAGGAAATATCATCCAGTGCCGCGTCCATTCAGCGCTTGCCATGACACTTGCCCGATCGGCGCAGTTGGACAGAGAGCTCCACGGACAGAGCGTTTGGGATGAGCATACAGTCGAGGAGCGACGGCGCTGCTACTGGAGCATTGTCCTCCTTCATCACATCATCGGCGAGTCCCTTCCAGGTCCGCTCCCACTTGTTTTGAGGCGTTTGAAGCCTCAGTTCCCTGCAAGCGCTCCATCACCCCCATCTGGTGCGCTCAACCCCGAAGGCCAAACGGTGGCTTTCTCGAAAGTACCAACGCAAGAGCACGGCATCTGTTCCATCGTCGTTCAGCTCAGCGAAGTCTGGTCCATGGCACAGTGCTATGTCTGGAATCGCGGCGGTGCAGCGGATGGGTCTCCTGAAAGGATCCCTCCATGGCACAAGTCATCACAATATTCCTCGACTCTGGAGCTGGTGATGAACCTGGGCGACAACCTCCCTCCAGCTCACCGATACCGCTTCATTCATTTATCAAAGGTCGACTCGGAGGAGCTAAATTGTTCACGAGATTACTGGGCGCCTTGGCTTCTGAGTCGCTTCCTCTACCACACAACACTCTGCATCTTGAACCATCCCATCCTTATCATGCTCCAGATCCAAGGCAATCGCGATGTCTCTGAGGTCTTTCTGCAGCAAGCCACCTTTGCCCGCTTGCATCACACCTCCTGGCTCATGCATTTCATAGAGTTCCTAGAGACTAGGAACTTCTATATCTCGGATCCACTTTTTGGGTACTGTGCAGCTGCCCTGGCCACAATCGAGTTACACCAATACTTTGTCGAGGGAGAACAAACTGCGGCAAGGAGGCAACAGAACTTTACACGGTGCGTGGGGTTTGTGCAAAGCCTAAGCGACCGGTGGCCGTACATGCAGAACGTGGTAGGTAAACCCTAGCAAACACCGTCACTGCTCACAGCTAATGTCATCATGTCTGTATACAGGCAGAGAACCTACAGCAGCTCATGGCAAGAACATCAGAGCTCTACCGGACAAATATCGGAAATCCTGATGCGAGCAAAGTCAGCGTGGATATCTCTGGGTTCTTTCGAATCCTGGATTTCACTCAGTTCTGTGCTGCGAGCAACTCCACCTCTACATTCGGGCCTACCTTGTTTCCTCCCCACGTTCATCCTGAACCTGAAGTGCCGAAGGAGAAAACCCTTGAGCGGCTGCCTCCAATCACCGAAATACACAGTCAACCCGGGTCATCACTGCTTCTCCCACGGGCTGAAACAGCGCCAACCGGGAATACTTGGTATGCCCATCAGCAGGATGCAAATCCGAGCATCCGTGGACACTTTGCAAGCGAGGTCGACGATTTCATGTCGTTGCAGGCTGATCAGCTTTTTGGCTCTGTATATGACTGCATGGCTCCGTGGGACACGTTAGCAGGAACTGTCCCGTCTTTCTGAAGATGGCCTTGATCTTCGAGGTGAAGGGCTGGGAGAGGCTTACTGGCCGTACTGACCTTTTCTATCGTGACATCACGTTGCATGCCAGGTCTTCCATCCACGAGCATAGACACACATTTCTGATAAGCCTACGGCCGTGACCTCCTCACCCTGCATCGATCTGGGCGGTGATCTAGAGTCGCTCAGACCCCGAGCTGTCAGCGCTAGCGATGGGCTATAATGAGATCAAGCTCAGACAACTGAGGTGAGATGCAGATGCTGTGTATCACCTGCCGCGCAACCGTGAAACACATCCGGATGGCTGTGTAGTACATGACGCCCATCATAGGGGGCGAGTGCGACCGGCCAGAACGCCCCAGGGTCCAGATTGTCATCAAACCGCGATACGTTTACCAATCCTTTAATTGCGAACATGATCATGTAGCGATATGCAGTCACTTGCAGATGCAGTGTAGCTAGAGGGGAAGAGTAGCTCTATGGCACTTGGGGGCGGACATGATATATTCACAAATAGGTGTGTCGAAGCAAAAACAGCAGTTCGACCAAGGATCTGGGCAGCTCAGCAACCTGGGATGATGGAAGAAGTCATTGTCTTATGCCATGTAAGGTGCTTTGCTCAAGCGCAAACCGCAGGCAAAGGCTCAAAGAAGAACCTGCCAGGGACCTCGCAACATGAAATGGTATCCGCCCAAGTGCTTGGGTTTTGGAAGGCAGGCATAGAGGATCATGTCCCATTTGACAATGGTATTACTGGGCAGTGGCTACAATCCTGTGTCTCCAGCCTGGAAATCAGGAAGACACTGGTACTATTGTCTCAACCCTGGACCTGGATTTTCCTATCTCCTCCAGCAGGTGAGGCATTATGGCAGTGGATTGGATGCAGCATCACATCATGCCATTCATTCCAGTGAAGTCCGAGACACCTATCTGCCGGAACTTCCCAATTTCCTCTGCATACTCCGTTCTCACCTGCCAATCCCTCCAGCTCAGCCGGCCGAACCCCGGACCACTCAAATGACCGTTACACCGCATAAGTAGGCCAAGGCGACACACGACAAATCAGACGACCAGAGCAGCGGTTAAGATCATGCATGCAACTCAGCAATCTGGCGCACAGCAAATGAGGCAGCCCGGATAACAACGCGGCCAGGAACATGCGACGATCGCGCGCTTGGCAGTTGGAGAATGGAAGCTGAAGAAGCGCAGCTGGGGCGAAATGATGCAACATCGGATTTCCGACAAGCCCCAGCAGATCTTGGCGAGATGGATCGGCAGGATGATCGACTCTTCAGGGACAAGCCTGGGGCCGCTTATCAGGAGAGGAGATTGGGGGCAATGTAACGATGGGCGGAGAGCTGAGTCGAATCTGGAAGAGCGGGTGCGCCCGATAGAACCCTGGATGGATGGATAGATGGCTGTGCATGCATGGAGCAGCAGGTGTTGCGGATTGAGTGCCTGCAGGGGGGAGGACCTGCTTATCGGACATTTATTTGCAGACCCTGCTTGGGAGTTGGAGTTGACCCAACTGACTCCCTAGGGCGCAAGCTTTCTGTGGCGAGTCGCACAGACACGTAATCTGCAGCCGGGCAGATGATAGGCATCCAGACCCTGTCCCTGTCTGTCCTCTCGTCTGTCCAGACCGTTGCCATCGCTCTCTCAGAGGTCAAGTGGGTAAATTCCAGGGCCAACCGGGGAACGCCGGGCGCCCTATAAAATTCGATACACGCAACGGGCAACGATCTGGGGTAGAGTAATGAGTGTCCAATCAGAACAGCGTATCCAGAATGTCCCTCCCCATGCTAGGGCCAATTGGGCAGGTCTCCCGCGATCTGCAAAGGCGCTGTCCTTAGCGCCTGCATCCCCCTGATCCTTATCAAGCGCCCTATCAGATGCACTGCCCGCCTTGGTGATCTTCCACCATACCCAGATGTCCAGCCTATGAGGCTATCGTCCTTGTCACTCGTCTGCCCGGATGTAACCCAGGCTCAGGCGGGTCAATCTGGAGGGAGGGCAGGGCATGTGGATTGCGCACGCGCCGACCTTACTACAGTGGACGAGAGGTATATAAACCCTCAAACATCGCACCCTGTACCTCCTTCATCCATCCCACCCATCCAACCCAGCACCCCTCAAAGCAATCGGAAGAAGCCCCAGCAAGAGAAGACCGCCATGAAGACCGCAGCCCTCTCAACCGCCCTCCTCTCCCTCCTCTCCACAGCCCTCGCCGAAAAACTCATCGTCGGCGGCGACGACGCCGAAATCACCGACTACCCCTACCAAATCGCCCTGCTCCAATCCGGCTCCCTCATCTGCGGCGGCTCCATCATCTCGCCCCGCTACATCGTGACAGCCGGCCACTGCGCCGACGGCGCCTCAGCCCGCTCCCTCTCTATCCGCGCCGGGTCGACGTACCATGCGCGCGGCGGGACCGTCGTCGGGGTTTCCTCGATCACCGTGCACCCGCAGTACGACTCTGCCACGATCGACAACGACATTTCGATCCTGGAGCTGAGCGAGGATCTGGTCTTTGGGAGCGGGATTGCGGCGATTGATCTGCCGAGTTCGTCTGCGCTTCCGGCGGCGGGGACGATCGGGACGGCGACGGGTTGGGGCGCGCTCCGTGAGGGAGGCAATGTTAGTCCCAACTTGCAGTATGTCGATGTGCCGGTTGTGAGTACCAGTCAGTGCAGCAGTGACTATGCGGGCTTCAATGATATCACGGCGTCCATGGTCTGTGCGGGTGAGGAGGAGGGCGGCAAGGATGGGTGCCAGGGTGACTCTGGTGGTCCGTTTGTTGCGGATGGTGTGCTTATCGGTATTACTTCCTGGGGCAATGGGTGTGCGCGTGCGGGATACCCTGGTGTTTACTCGAGCCCGGCGTATTTCAGGGACTTTATCCAGCAGGTTACTGGGATTTAAATCCCGCGATGCGGATCTTTGGTCCCGGGTCTTTGGCAGGATGGTGGTGGCGGGTTTGAGTGCTGTATATAGCTGATGACTGCTGTGTTGATGATGGTACCTAATCCTAATGGTTTGGTAATGCGGAGGGGCAAGCTTGGGCTTTGGCTTTGTATATAGACAGGTCATATATGCATTGCATAGCAAGTTTCGTCATTATGCGCATCTCAGAAACGGGGGGTATGCGTATCATGCAATGAGCCAGTACCTCTCCAGCCCCTTCAACTGCTCAATCCAACTCGCCCTCTCCCTCCCCCGTTGACTATTTGCAGCAACCCCCAGCTCATCCCTCAACGCCCACGTCGTCCTCATCACCTCCACCGCAGTCCGTACATACCCCCACGGCATAAGATCCCAGAACTCGCTCAGCCGATCAACAGCCCATTTCCGGTAAACGGGGTTATCGGTCTCCGCGCCCGCAATAAACGTCGGCCAGGTCGTCGCGACGAAGACCGGGTCTACGCTACTGACTAGACTCAGATGGGTGATGATGTTCGTGACGAGGCGCTCTGGGTCCTCGCCGCGTATTGTTTCGGGCGAAGGTATATTGTTGATGATTTGGGTGATGTAGATCAGCACTGCGTTTTGGTGTGCGAGCGCTGTGTGTGTGCGGCTTAGGGTTCGACTGGAGTCGGGGCTGGGGCTGCTTGAACCTTCGACGGATAGGGCCCACGAGTGCGCGTTGAAGGATCGCGTTGTGGAGAGGAGGGTGTGTGCTTGTGCTAGGAGGGGCGTGGAGTCTGGTGCCTGTCCTTGGGAGCCGGTGTGCATCGTCCTGGAGACGATGTTCGACAGCTCGCAGGCTTTGAAGAGGGTGTGTAGAAGCACCGTCGGGAGGGAGATGTAGCTTGTTGTTTCGGCGCGGATGAGGGAGGCCGTGATGTCGCCGGGGAAGAGGAAGGGGTTGGAGAGGGTGCGCGTGTTCGTGAGGGTTGAGCCGAGGATGTACCACCTGCATTTCGTTTCAGTCTAGAGGTGAACTGATGGGTAGGGTAGGGCTCACGTTAGACAGTCCGAGGTGATGGTATCGCGGATCAGTGCAGCCGGGGAGGCATCACGGGGCTCGAGGGTTTGGAGATAGCTGATCAGGCGCAGGGCGCCTTGGACATGGGCGCGCCATTCATCGCCGCCTGGGCTCATGAGCTCGAATATGATGAAGAGGTGGACGACTGTTGTTATGAGGTCGAGATCGACATGGTGGATATCTTCAAGAGCTTGACGCAGGAGAACAAGGGCCTTGTGCTTCGCGGAGAGAGCATCTACGAGCGCGCGGGATGAGGCGTCGGTCTGGCGTGGAGATGGTAGCCGCTGAACCTGGAATAAGTGCTCAGACTCAGGATTGATGGCGCGCCGGTGTAAGCACGAAACATGCAAGGCGCCTGCTGCGTCGATGGCATGTCGGAGGATGGGATAGTCCCGGCACAGGGGGACGAGACGGTGGAAGGGGTTGAGGTCGTTGGCGGCGATGACCAGGTCGCTGCAGACGCTTGTTGCAACTGGAACGTGGGCATTACAGAGACATCCAATGTTCATACTCGGTGGAATACATACAGTGAAAGAGATACCGTCTTGATGTCTCATCCAGACTCTGGTATAACGGGTCAAGGAGCGGGCCAGGGATAGACACAAGGGGTTGATCACAGACGAACACATCACTCGGGACCTGGAGAATACTTCCCGCTGAGCCAGAAGATACACCGGACTCTCGAATCTTTCCAGCATCCGAAGCACCTGCAGGCGCAGGGAATGTCTTCCCCATCATCTTCCCCCGACTCGCCACACCCTGGTTCCACACAAAGAGCTTGCCATAGCCCAAGCATTCCTGACTCGTGATAGAACATTTCCTGCAAGCGGGAACAGCCCGATCACACTTCCACCGGCGGCGTCGACAATTATGACAAGCTTTGGAGGGGGTCCCCATCGGGCCGAGACGCAATAGCACCCTATACCTAGGGCCAAGAGCTTCGATCGATTCCTCAGCCGACTGGATTGGACAAAGCGCTGCCTACCAGTACCGAATGCACGGCTACGGCCCGCGGAGCAACGGGAACCAGAAAATCAGTCGACGATTATCCAGAAATCCCTGACGAAAACCCAATGCACGTGGGGAGGACGAGAATAAAATGCACCGCTGACGAAATGGCTCTAGGTGTAATTTGTCAGCAGAGCGTGAGGCTTGGCTGCTTCAAAGGGTTTAGGGCTGTGTTTAGTGCAGGACTTATAGACAGGGTGCAGTGGGGGCATCAACCAATGTCCAATTTCTGGTCTGTATACATCACATCATCGCAGTACGCAAGCTCCTGAAAATTCGACGAGAACGCCGGTTTCAGAAGGGCATTGCTGATGTATAAGGGCAGGCAGCCGCACATATCCAGCGCAGCTTTTGTCCGATTTTATCCCGGCTGTCTCAATGTCCGGTATGTACCTGCACCGCAGAAGTATATCCATATGAAGCCGCTACAATGGCCACCAGCATCCAATTCGACGATAACCGCCAGGCCAGCCTAGAGGCCTCCCTCGGGCTCGAAAAAGAGAGACCGAGATCTAACCTCAATGACCCGGCGACCTCCAACGACTCCCTCCCGCCGTTCCTGCTCGACAAGAAGAGCCTGGAGCGACTGGGCCGCGAACGCCCAGACATCTTCCCCAACATCTGGGTTGAACTCGGCTTCTGCTCTTCGCTGATTGCCTCGGAGCTTCTAGCCGTACGTCCTCCACCCATTCACATCGGCACACACTCACAAGTTATCCATTCGGCTAGGAATACTTCGTCAGCGGCTTCAACAACCTCCTCCCGCACATAACAACAGCGCTATCCATCCCCGCCCACGCCCAAACCTGGCCCGCAAGCGTCTTCTCCCTCGTAACAGGCGCCTGCCTCCTCCCCGTCGCCCGCACCGCCGACATCCACGGCCCCCGCCTGCTCTTCAACATCGGCCTGATCTGGTTCGTCGTCTGGAGCTTTATCGCCGGCTGGAGCACAAACTACACCATGCTGATCGTGTGTCGCGCCCTGCAGGGTCTCGGGCCCGCTGCGTTCCTGCCTGCCGGCATCATGCTGATTGGGAGTATATACCGGCCCGGGCCGCGCAAGAACCTGGTTTTCAGCCTGTACGGGGCGTTTTCGCCGGTGGGGTTCTATGGGGGGATCTGTGTTAGTGGGCTTTCGGGCCACTATTTGAGTTGGAGGTGGTACTTTTATATCGGGTGTATGATTGTGCTTGTTGTCCTGGTTATTTCGCTGGTTAGTATGCCCATGATTCGGTTGCCGAGGCATACGGCCGATCTGAAGATGGATTGGTGGTGTGGTACGATTGTGCCGGGGTTGATTTTGCTGGTGTTCGCTATTACGGAGGGCTCGCATGCGCCCGATGGGTGGAGGACGCCGTATGTGCTTGTTACGTTTTTGGTCGGGATTGCGTTGCTGGCCGCGGCGTTCTACGTGGAGGGGTGGGTTGCGACTGAGCCGTTGTTGCCGTTTGATGTGTTCAAGGTCAAGTCCATGAGTCCGCTGTTCGTGGCGCTGTCGTTCTCGTATGGTGTCTTTGGGATCTATCTCTTTTATGCGAGTTTCTAGTATGTCCCCCTCACACCATGAAGCTAGCCCTAACCTTATCCGCTCAGCATCCAAGACATCCTCGGCCACGACTCGCTCATCTCCGCAGCGTGGTTCGCCCCCATGGCAGCCGGCGGCGTGATCCTCGCCACAGTCGGCGGCTTCACACTCCACCACCTCCCCGGCAAACTGTTGCTGCTGATCTCCGGCGCGGGCTATCTGGTCTCCATGCTGCTGTTTGCCATCATCCCCGACAACCCCAACTACTGGGCGTACGTGTTCCCTGCCATGATCGCCGCAACCGTCGGCGTGGACATCGGCTACAGCGTCTCAAACATCTTCATCACGACGAACCTTCCCCAGAGCCGACAGGGCGTGGCAGGCGCAATCATCAACACGATCGTGTTTGTCGGTATCAGCTTTTTCCTGGGCTTGGCGGATACGGTCGTCTCGCAGACGGACGATCTCGGTGAGAAGCGGAGCTACAAGGCTGCGTTCTGGTTTGGCGTTGCGTGCTCGGGCGTTGCGATTGTGTTGCTGGTTTTCATCCGTGTTGGCAAAGCGCAGAGTGACCTTACTGTTGAGGAGCGCATTCAGCTTGCGGAGTCTTTGGCTGTGGGGGATGTTACGCCTGAGCAGTTGGCTGCTGCGGGGCATTCGGCTTCTGCTTCGAGTTGAAGTATCATCGCATCAGGATGATCGGGCGGAATAAACCGGCTATCAGTCTTTTACACTGGCAGGAATATTTATGGCTTCCATCCTAGATGGACAAAGGGACATTATATACGCACCCGCAACCGTTGTATCTAATGATATGGAAGGAGTTTGTATGGGCACAAAGTCTCAGCGTTCCAAAAACCAATTATGCAAATCGAATGAAGTAGACGGTCCGAATATACGCCCACATCTACTTTCTCGGGGCATTCGTAGGCTTTCTCCCTATCACCAAGTAGAACAACGAGTATAGCTCCAGGCTCTCGTCGTCAAGTTCCTGGCGGACGCGCTTCAGCAGAGCATCCGTGTCCTCCCTCGACCAGCCCAGGGTCTTGGTGAATAGGCGCAGCGAATATCCCTCCAAATGGTTCTTCAAATGACCATGATTGAGCTCGCCAATAGTAAGCCTGCCGATTGTCGACCTGCCGGTATCTTTCCATTCCCTCATAGGTACCTTGAACATCTGCTCCTGGACCTCAACCAAGCCCGCCTGCTCCATTAGCTCCTTCTGTCTGGTGCCCATATTAATCTGCTTGCCGAATCTCCGCGCCGCCTCGTCCAGCAATGCAGACCACTCCCTAATCGCATCCCACTTGCCCTCCATTTCCTCCTCTTTGCCTTGGCGAGGATGGAAGCGCAGGTCGTGCTCCCGGATCTCCACCCACCCACCGGGAACTAGATGCTTGTACACATTGGAGTAAAAACCCTCCCAGTCGACGAGGAGCCCACCCAGTGCCTCGCCGTGAATCAAATGGAAGGCCTCCTTGGCAGTAAACGGCCACGGGCCCTCCAGGTCGCGGTGCAGCAGCCACGCTGGCCCTGTCTCCTTCACCATCCATGCGGGCTCGATGCCGGTAACGCGTGCGTCTCCGTAAATGTCGCTGTCCAGTAGAGAGTACAACCAGGCCCCACTGCGCGCTGCAACATCGAGGACTTTGGTGCCTCTTTTCAAGGGGAGAGAGAGGGGGGCGATGAATGGCCTTTTATCGGGGAGGAAGCTCCATACCATGCCCGCTGTTGTTTCGAAGTCGTCTGGGAAGGGGAACTCGTCTTCGTGGCCGTGGTACCGACGGCCGTTTTCCCAGGTGTGGTCGTTGCGGCGGCGGAGTCTCTCCAGGTCAGGGCTGGGTACCTTTTTAGAGCCTGTGGACATGGTGTCTCTTGGGTGTCCGAGGAGCTTCCTGCTGTAAAGTTTCAAGGGGGGCAGAACTTGGGGCCCAGGCCAGATGCGCTAGGTACCTCCCTATGCAGCAGGGTCACATGACCTAGGGCTGCCTAGCCATACTGGAACTCTGCTACCTGGAATGCTTCCTTGTTTTGCTAGGACCTCAGTAGTGAGTGGCGAGCTGAGTTGACGATAACTTGCAGGCTTCAACTTGGAGGGTGGGTGGACGGTCTCCGGGGATCGGGTGAGTGTGGATTACCGTATCAAATTTGCTTAGCACCATTGCGCAAGATTATATATTCCTGCTTCTACGAAGTATCATACTACATTTAGTAGCCCCCCGGTCCAGCTGGGGCTCCATCTGAGCGGTGCATAGTCCCTGGATTACAAGCAGACTTGGGCGAGCTCTCTAACTTTTAATCAGAGCACCGCGAGTGCCATCGTAGCCAGCCAATTCCACCAAACTCGTAGCGCTCAGGAGGGACCGCGTCAGCCGACTCAGCGCTGAAGCGAAAGGATCCAACCGGTTCTCCCACGCAATCCGCCCATGCTCGTCCAGTCAGAGAGTCATGAGCAATCCAGACTCGATGGCCTCGCGATCCAACAGATACAAACCCGCTTGGATTCTTAGCTCCGCAAGACTGAGCTCCCGCCACCTCTCTTCGCCCTCCTGGTACTGCGCTACCATCTCGTCGTCCTGCCCACTGCGGTACCGTCCGCTACCCCCGCCGCCGTCCTCGCCCCAAACGCCGCTGAAATCGGTGATCCCGGGCACGCGAACGAACACCTGGCGCCAGCATCCTGGCCTGCCATCGTCAAAATTGTACCGCAAGGCGTCATCCAGGATCTTGGCCCCCGAGACACCTCATCCAGGGACTTTGGATGCCGCCTTCATCTGTTCGTATTTTCCCGTGAGATCTGGGTCGTAACATGTGCGCAGCCAGACGGTCTGCCAGCCAGCACAGCTAACGAGGCTGATATTGCGCTCGTGCGGTGTCTGGTGCGTGGCCAGCACGCGTTTGATCTCCTCGCTGAGTTGTGGCGGGTCGTCGGACTCAGCGCTTTCTTGACACGGCTAAGAGCTGTCAGGCTGTGTCAATTGCCATTAAAGGAAAGGTAAACACACATAACGCTCTGGGAGCGTCAGGCTCTCCCATTCCCAGACGAGCCGCTCCCACTGTTCCCGGCTGTCTCCGGAGGCATTGGGATCCCACCGGTCCTGTGTGCTGAGGTCAGAACAGAACCGGACGGGAGATTGGAAAGCTAACCGAGAGGAAGTTGTCGAATGGGAGGCGGCCGTAATCGGCTCATTCTTCTAGCGTCACGACGGACATTAGGGCCTGGATGGGAAGTAGTAGTAGTAGTAGTGATATTTAACGCCCCGGGGATTGCTAGGCATACGCCTAATGTTCTAGACCTCCCTTGGGGTATGGGGGCGTGCTACCATAGGGTAAGTAGCTTATTTAAATAAGTTTATATACACATGTAAAAAGGCTTTTTATTTTAAAAAGTAACTTTTACTAAAACTTATAGGCTAGGCGCCTGTTTTTTACTTATTATTTTTATATATAATTATTAGCAGGTATTATTTATCACGTGTTTAAGGTTTTAGTAATAATAAGTTATAAAAACCTGCCTTATTATAAATAAAATATATTAGCTAAAGCTAGTTATATTTAAAAAAAATATTTAAAAAAAAATATAATAAAATTAAAAAAAAAATTATTTAATATTAAGTTAAATAATTTTAATAGTGCTAGGGCGCGGGAAGCCCTAGCAAGGGTAAATAAACTTATAAAAATTTATAATTTTAAGTAAAAATATAAAGCCTTTAGGCTTTAATTTATAAAGGTATTTTAAGGCCTTAGCCTTAATTATTAGTAGTATTATAAAATACTAGGGCTATTATAAAAAATACCACCTAAAATAATAATAAAAAACTAGGTATTTAGGGCTTTTACTTATTTTATAAAAATAAGTAAGCCTAGTATTTTTATATTAAAAGTATTTATAATATTACTTAAAGTTTTTATATAAAAACCTAAGTACTAGCTAGTAATATAAAATTAATTACTTTAGTATTAGCTTTTATTATACCTTAATTTAATAGGGCTTTAGCTCCGCGGTAAGTTATTACTTATATTATATAAATAATTTTATAAAAATACTTTTTTATTACTTGGCTTAAGTAATTTAATATATTTATTTATATAGGTTATATATCCCACTTATAGTGGGCTGCGCTTTAAAAAAGTTAATATTTAAAAATTATGTTTTTATAAAGGCTACTTTATTAACTAGCTTATTAGCTAGCTTATTACTTTTAATACTTATATAGCTAAAAAACTACTATAAGTAAATTATATATTAATTTATAAGCTAGTATAACACTTAAAAAGCCTAGTTAAAAAATAATAAAGGCTATTTATATATATACTAAATTATTAAGGTACTATTTATATAAAGCTAGTAAATAAAAACCTTAAAAAGTTTTTTAATTATTATTTTTAGTTTTTAAAGCATGCTTATAGTCTTAGTATTATATATATAAAACTAGGTATAAATTATTAATAGTTTTTATACTTAAAGGTATTATTTATAATATACCATGTAGCTATAGCCTATATAATATATATTTTAATATATTTATTTAAACCTATTACTAAAAATTACTATTTTTATTACTAGTAGTGTTTATTATTATTATTTAAACTTTTTTATAACTAGCTTCTTAGCCTTGCCCTTAATAGGATTTTTTAAATATTTTTAAAAATAATAAAAATATACTAAAACTAGCCTTAGGATATTTAAAAAAAGTACTTTTATAATTTATACTTTAATTTTAGGCTTTTAACACAAGCTAGCGCCCTAACCTTATAAAATCTTTAATAATATTATTTATATTACTAGTAAATTTTAGTTATTTACTAGCTAAAGCCTTAGGGCAAAGCATAGTTATATTTTTTTTAATATTATTATTATAAAAAAAAGCCTAGTATTTTTAAAAAGGGTTATTATTAATATAATTTAAAAAATTAAAAGTATATCGCGGGCGGCTAAAGCTAGGGTTTTTTTAACTATTTTTATATACTAGCTTAATTAGGCGCTAACCTTTAAATCTTACACGTGCCTTTTAAGTTTAGTTTTATTATTATATTATACCTTTATATTATATAAAAAGCTAAAAATAATATAAATAATAATTATTTTATAAAAAAAGCTTGCAGGTAGATTATGTATTATATATACTAAATTATAAATATATTAAATTATTATATAGGCTTTAGTAGCCTGCTTAATAATATACTAATATTAAAAAAGTTATTTATTAAAAAAAATACCTAGTTAATATAGCACAGGCTGTTTTTAGCCTAGTACCATGGTAATAAAAGTAATTATTAACTAGTTATTAATTATTAATAAGGGTAATTTACTATATTATTTTTAGGTAATATATAGTATTTTTAATTTTTTAAGTATAAAGGCTACTTTATTTTATTTTCCCTAGGCTAGCATGTTATAAATATTTTTTATTAAAAACTTATAATTTATATAAAAAAAGTTACTTATATAATTAAAATAAAAATTATTTATATAATTAAAGCATAAAATAAGATTTACTAGTAATAGTTTAATTATATATAATAAAAATAATATTAAAAAAAGAGGCAAGCCCTACAGCGTACTATAGTATACTAGGTATATTATTATTATAATAAATTTTAGGTATACTTTTATACTTTATTTATTAAAAAAAACTTATAATTAAAGTAAAAAGCGCGCGAGGCTAGCCTTGCTTTATTATTTACTAAAATAAGTATTATAATAAAATAATATTAAAAGTACCTAAAATATTTATAGTAATTATAATAACCTCATAGTTTTATAAAAGTATTATTTTTATATTATAAGTAAATAAAATTATTAAGTTTATAGCTAAGTACTTGGGTAAAATATTATATTATTATAAACTTAATATTTTTTATACTAGTATAATAAAAATAATATAACACGCTATTATTTACTTAAGTTTTTTTTTAATGTTAAAAATAATATTATAAGGCGCTAGGATTAGGGCAAAAACTTATTTTTTTTATTATTTTTTAAAGGTATTACTATTTTTATAAGCTTTTATAATAAGGGAAAGTATTTTAGTTATAAATATTAATTATATAGCCTATAAATAGCTTATTTAATATACTTTTAGCAGGCTTTTAAAATATAAATAATTACCTAGTTTACTTTAGGAAAGGTGCTGCTCATGCTAATAATATTTTTTTTAACTTTTTTTAATAAGATTTTTTTTAATTAATAAAGGTGCTTATTTCCCTGCTAATATTCTAGTGCTAAAAAATTAAAATTTTAATTATTATTTATATTAAAACACTTTAATACTACTTTTTATAAGATATTAGCCTTTTTTTATATATTTTTAATTACTTTATTATTTATTAATAATAGGAAAGCCTTAAGCCTAGGCTTTAGCTTATACCATGTTATTATTTAATATAATTTTTAATTATTTTTAATATTATTAATTATCTTAGTTTAATACACGTGTTTAATTTTATAAATTATAACTAAAAACTATTTTTTTTACTTTAGGGTAGGGTTTACTACCCAAGCTTAATAATTTTTTATATATTTAATTAACTACCAGGGGGTACTATAACTTTTTAAGTTAAAGTATTTATTAATTACTTATATAGCTTTTATAATAATATTACTAAGAAATTTAATATATTAATTTAATGTTTTTATGTTTTTAAGTTTCCTAAGTTAAAAAAAAAAGTTATTTTATTTTTTATAAGCCTAGCCAGGCGCTTAAGCTTATAATTTAGTATATTATAATAATATTATTTTAATATTTTTTTCCCGCGCCCTGATACTATAATAACCAGGGTTTAATAATTAAAATTATTATATAATTTAAATATTACTAGCATGCGGGTAAATAAAATATTTAAAAAGGTTAAGTTAAAACTATA